AAACTTTAGGGGAAAAGATATTTTTGAGTAATAATAAAATTCTTTTTTTTAGAAGCTGAACAAATAGCCTTACATTTTCCTAGAATCACTTTTGGAACATTGATCAAGCACAATTACTATTCTAATATTGGAAAGAGTATTTGTTAAATTAATTTGCCAAATAGAAATTGCTATACTCCAAACATACTTTTTCGAAATGCACTTATGACAAAAAATATTTTTTAAAATAAGCAGCTTTTAAGAATTCGGCAAAATAGGCTAACTGACAAATTGAGGTGATAGATATGGTTAATCATTGTTAAGTCATAGAAGTGTATGTAAAAAGATACATGCCATCTATTCATTGTTGGTGTGACAGAAAACTTTTCTTACAGGACGTACCATGCCAGTTAGGGATACTATGGGATGGGTGAGATCTCTCCACCCTTAACCTGTAGAAATTTCAAGAGTAAAAATCTTGGGAATGAAAAAATCACTAATTAGAAGAGTTTTCCCATTTAATTGACCTTACACTCTATTACACGACGAATCTAAATAAGTCAACTCAATATGAGTTTCTTATACCAAAGTAGTACTTACTTATATTTTAAAAGATCTATTGCGTTCTAATTTACTTTTTTTTTTGATTAAAAAGAAAACAATTCATGGATAACTAACCAAAATTAGTACATGCAGTGGCGCTGACCATCATGCCATCGCATTTAATATTGTCCAAACGAGCCAAAATTGTATAGTTCTTAGGAAATGCAGTTCCTAGTTTGTCCAACCATGCATAGGGTGGACAAAACAAATGAGGGTGAGACATACGCTTAACAAAACGTAACAACGCCTCAATTAAAAGCTACAAGGGCTAAAATCTTTTTCCAACATATGATTCTTACCGGTTGCTATTACAACGTTTTTTTTTTGGTAACTAATTAACTTTATTACCAATTGAAACATATGAACAGTACACAACACTACTTTTGATATGCTTAGTTAAGGGGGAGATTGGTGCGGTGAGCGTGGATAAATAAACTAATTGAAAACTATATTTTTTCAAACGAAGACTCTTCTTTTTAGGAAGATGATTTCCGGCCATTCTTCGAAGCTGATTTGAAAACAAAACATTCGTTCCGTGACGTGAGACTCCAGCTTAAAACTTTGAAACCATACCAAATCATACTCGGCAACTGAAGCATGGAGGAGAAGAGCCGGAAAGGGCGAAACCTCTCTTTTCAAAAGAAAGGGACCCGCCAAAAAATATTGCAATAGAGAACTCTCCGCTCCTTCTTTTTCTACATATGCGGTGGCGGCAGAGAAGAGGGGACAACTTCTTTCTCCTTTGCCTTGCTCAATCTTCCTTTTCTGATTGAAAGTAGCAAGCCACTCTACTATTGGTACAGAGGCTAGACCCAGGAATCAACTTTCCCGTATGAGCATTCGGTACATGTATCAGTCCGTGGAAGAGTGAAAGGAAATATGAACTTTATTAGATAAACGAGCACACAGAATGAATAAATAAATAAATAAATGAATAAAACAAGTGCCCTTCATTTTTTCCCCCTTAATTGAAAGGATAAAATATGTTATTAGGGGGCGGATGTAGAGTTGTAACACCGGGTTCAACTTAACCCAGTACTTTCGACGCGAAACATAAATTTATGTGTAAAAGTTCACTGCAACTGTAACAAACAGTAGGTTTGAACCCATAAGTTTAAAATTGTAATGGGTGCATGACAAAAATTCTTCAGAGTTGAACCTATTTTATGGTTAAATCTTAGCTTGCATCAGTACAAAATGAAGTAATAGTAGTAGCACTTTGCTGTTTCAAAATACATTTATCCGAAATAAGCCTAACAAAAGAAGTTACTGTTAGTTTGTCTGCCTCAATTAAATTTAGAACAAACGAAGAAGGAACTTCAAACTAAACAAAATACATTTTGCTGCTGCTTCCTATACTCTTCCTTTCTTAGCTAACATGTCAGCAACTTAATTGATCATTTTGTTCCCTAAAGCTATGCTGGATTCTCGCTTCTCAACTGGTGCAACAATGACCTGTAATCAGAGATGACATTAATTAATTACTATATAGTTCTCTTTTTTTATGAATTTCTGTAATGAAAATCTTTTTTAGTAAAATTTTTTACTAATAGATTTCCCGCATGAAGTTCAGTAGTTATAAGAAAACTTCATCAGATTAATTAACCAAAGCATGCAGTAACTACCAATTGCACTTATAGAATAACAGTTCAAACTAGAGAGCACTCACCAAATTAAGATGGGATAATTTTCATTTTCCCAACTTTAATTTTGCAGAAAGAATTATTAAGTCATCATTTGCTAATGCAGCATCATCAAGATTCTCATATCAAATTAATAGGGCAGATTTCATCTTAATTTTTGCTCCATATTTCTACGTGAATCTTGATGGTGCTGCACCAGCAAGCAACAACTGTATGTCAATCCATGCACCATCTAACTGAGAAGAATTAGCCTCCGAAAGAAGAGGGCGAAAACCATACTAAGTGACAGGGCTAGAAATTCTAATAAAGGAATTCAAAAGAATATAAGAATGTCCCGTTTGGCTGCGACTCGAAATAATTTTTGAGTTACTTTTTTTCATATATAACACTAGAATAATCTGTTAGGCATGTCAAAATAATTCAACAATTTATATATATAATAGATGAATGGGATTCAGTTGAACCTCTTCGAACCATGTAACTCTGCTCCTAGCCCTAGTACTCTAGAATTTGGATGATATTATTCCATGCCTAAGATATTTCACGCGAAGATCTCTAGTTCTATCTAATTTAAACCTAGATTTTTCAAAATGAATAGAGCTATATTTCTTTAAATTATACAAAACGAAGCAGAGGGATAGTACTAAACACAAATAAACCATATTTTAGTAAATATAAATCTATAAGAAAGGGTTTTGGGGACATGGGTTTAGGTTCAAATGATGTGAGACCGTGAGAGCAAGGGATCGATTATTTCATCGATCCCGCGACAACTAAAAGGGAGAAGGGAATCAAAAGCACAAAACAACAATAACAACGTCTTAATCCCAAGCAAATTTGGATCGATTTTATCAATCCTCATTGTTCATATCACTCCGTTTAAACTTAATATTAGTCCAATACTGAATAAATTAAAATCAAGAAGCATAATCAAATAAGAAATCTTAGCTATGAAACATTATGGGAAGAATCAATAAATGCATATATATTGACATAAATAAGAGTATGAGGAAATTAACAAGAGAAGGAAAAAAAAGAGAAAAGATTTCTATGTGAATAACTAATTGGATACTGAAGGAGAAAAAAGAAAAAAAAAATTTAGAAGGGGGAATATTTGAGGAAGAAGGGAAAACAGAAGGATACTTATATACACATTTAACCTAGTACGTACCCCTTAGCTGGAGGTTTTCTTCTGTTACCAATGGGTGTATGAATATTTACGTGTACTTTTTAAATTTGAGGCTTGTATTCAAAAGTACATAGAGAGAGGGGCATCTGTGAGAAGTTTCATTTGAAATTCAAAAGTATTTACTTTATTATCAACCCCACCTATTATGTACAGTTATCATATGAGTTTATTTGAGTTTTATGCATTAACGATGTAAAATATATTTAACAATCAGGTCAATTATAATATAAACACAGACAAAAATAATAAGTATGAATTAGTATCCTAATGATAGAAATAATAATTAAGTAGTATGCATGATCTAATAATGCATGAATGCAATTAATGTCGGAATTAGTAATGCAAGATTGGCAATGAAAAGGATTACGGATGTGGGGATAGACAATGTAGGGATTAATAATGCAGAGATTGTAATGTTCGGTTTGTTGCGAACATACCAGGTACAATTTTATATATTTACTTTTTAAACGGAATAAAAGTTTGTCTCGAAGGAAAATAAAGATATAAATTAGAAGGATATTCTTGTCATTGTAATTGTTTAATCCATGTATAACTAATGCATGTAATACATATAAAAACAACTAATACATAGTACTGTTGGGTTTTGTTATTAATAACAAAAAAGGTGTAAATGAAAAATGGTGGGAAAAGAAATGGAGGGAAGTGAAATTTTGAATTAGTTCACTTTACTAATGCACTTTGTCCCTCATTGGAAGAAGGAAAGAAAATGTTTGTGCTTATATAGATAAGCTCATCTTCTAGCTAGCTCTTAAAGAGTTAAGAAGAAGTGGTGCCTCGCGTCGTCGTCTCTCGCTCGGATTCGGTCACGGATTCGATCAATTGATATGACTGATTGATAATTTTTTGTCCCCTCAATCTTCCACATTATGCATTAGTTTTCAAAAGCAAAACGTAAGCATTTTTGTGTGATTTGCTCCTCCATTGGAAGAAGGAAAGAAAAGTGGTGCCTCGCGCCGTCGTCGTTGTCGCTCGCTCGGCTCGGCTTCGGATTCGGATTCGGTCAATTGATATGATTGATTGATAATTTTTTGTCCCCTCAATCTTCTGCATCCTGTATTAGTTTTCAAAAGCAAAATGTTAGCATTTTTGTGTGATTTGCTTCGCTATTTGAGTTCGCCGAAGTTCTGTGATTTGAAGTGCCGCTATCACAGAATAGTTATTCCGTTCTATCCTGGGAGGAATTAATTCATAACCTTGGACAACTGTGAGGGGATTAAATTTCTTAAGGACACACAAGGAAATTGTGGGCTCGAATTTTTTTTTTTCTGTTTTGTTTTCTTAAACTAATGATTTTCTAGTTTTGAATACAGTGGAGTAACAATCTTAAGGAATTTACATTCTGTATTCATTTTACTTTCTGGTTTGGGAGACTAAAATCGTATTGATTTTCTACTCCCGTTCTAGAGATTAAAATCTTCGGATTTTCTACTCCACTTTGAGATTAAAGTCTTGGTGACTTTCTACTCAATCCGAGATATTAAAACTCAGCTGTTTGTATTTGGTTTGAAGATAAAAAAATTCACTGAGATACTAATTTTGTTTGTGTCAATTTCTTTTACAGAAAAATGACAACAAGTACGGAACAACAAAATGGTTCTACTACTTCTGCAATGGCTACGGCGTCTTCAAGTCACACAACGCCTGGACCGGCTGTGGTACCGGCAGAAAAGCTCGAAAAATTTTCCGGCATGGACTTCAAACGCTGGCAGCGGAAAATATTCTTCTACCTGACCACACTCAGTCTGCAGCGCTTTAATAGCGAGGACGTTCTAGTCTTGGGAGAAGAGACTCCGGATAATGAGCGATTTGTGGTCACGGAGGCATGGAAGCATTCTGACTTCTTGTGCAAAAATTATATATTGAGTTATTTGGAAGATGGCTTGTACAACGTTTACAGTGTCATAGAGACTTCGAAAGAGTTGTGGAACGCTCTTGAAAAGAAGTACAAGACGGAAGATGCCGGACAAAAGAAATTTGTTGTGGTAAAATTCTTGGACTTTAAAATGGTTGACAGTAAGTCTGTCATAACTCAAGTTCAAGAATTACAAGTCATCATTCATGACCTCCTTGCCAAATGTATAAATCGAATCAATATTTTTATTAAAGATATTGATTATATTATTTATCCTAAATTTATGATTGTAGGTATGGTCATAAATTAAGCATTTCAAGTTGAGGCATTTATTGGAAAGTTGCCTCGGATGTGGAAGGACTTTAAGAATTGCTTGAAACATAAGCGCAAGGAGATGACGCTTGAAGACCTTATTGTTTGTCTACGGATTGAAGAGGACAACAAGGCTGCTGAGAAGAAGTCTCGTGGAAATTCAACAATAATGGGTGCAAAATATTGTTGAGGAAGCTTCAACGAGCAAAAAGAGAAAGAAGTCGTCTGGACTAAAGAATTACCCAAGCAAAAAGAAGTTCAAAGGTAATTGCCACAACTGTGAAAAGGTTGGACACAAGGCTGCTGAATGTCATGCACCAAAGAAGGACAAGAAGAAAAGTCAAGCAAACATGATTGAGAAGAATGATGAAATAGACGATTTATGTGCCATGCTTTCGTAATGCAACCTAGTCGGAAATGCTAGAGAATGTTGGATTGATTCGGGGGCAACTCGTCATGTTTGTGCTAACAAGGAGTTTTTTACTTCTTATGCTCCCGGTGGACCCAACAATACAGTTTTTATGGCAAATTCCGCTACTGCAAAAATTGAAGGAACGGGCAAGATAGTTTTGAAGATGACTTCTGTCAAGATTGTGACTCTAAATAAGGTCCTTCATGTTCCTGAAATGCGGAAGAATTTAGTCCCGACATCACTTCTAGTCAAGAATGGCTTTAAGTGTATTTTTGTTTCCGACAAGGTTGTAGTTAGTAAGAATGAAATGTATGTAGGAAAAGGTTACCTTACTGAGGGCCTTTTCAAACTCAATCTAATTGCCATTGATATGAATAAAATTTCAGCTTCTTCTTACTTGCTTGAGTCAAATAATTTATGGCATGAACGTTTAGGCCACGTCAACTTCAACACTTTGCGAAAAATGATTAATTTGGGATTATTGCCTAAGTTTGAAAGCAATAACTTAAAATGTCAAATATGTGTGGAATCAAAGTATGTTAAGCATCCTTATAAATCAGTTGAAAGGAATTCAAATCCTTTAGACTTAATTCACACAGATATTTGCGACATGAAGTCAATACCATCTCGCGGTGGGAAAAAGTATTTCATAAATTTTATTGACGACAGTACTAGATATTACTATATTTACTTACTTAATAGTAAAGATGAAGCAATTGATGCATTCAAGCAATACAAAAATGAAGTTGAAACGCAACTAAATAAAAAGATAAAAATGATAAGAAGTGATCGGGGCGGCGAATATGAATTTCCTTTTGAAGAAATATGTTTGGAAAATGGCATTATTCACCAAACAACTGCCCCTTACTCACCGCAATCTAATGGAATTGCGGAAAGAAAGAATAGAACATTAAAGGAGATGATGAGTACCTTGTTAATAAGTTCTGGTTTACCTCAGAACTTGTGGGGGGAAGCTATTCTTACAACTAACCGAATACTGAATCGAATTCCCATAGCAAAACGCAATCCATTCCATATGAAAAATGGAAAGGAAGGAAGCCCAACTTAAAATATTTTAAAGTGTGGGAGTGTTTGGCTAAAGTGCAAGTTCCTAAACCCAAAAGGGTAAGGATTGGACCAAAGACCGTTGATTGCGTTTTTGTAGGATATGCAACAAATAGTAAGGCATATCGTTTTCTGGTTCATAAATCAGAAAATCCCGATATTTATATTAATACGGTAATTGAATCGGATAATGTTAAATTCTTTGAGAATATTTATCCGTATAAAATGGAATGTGAGTCATCTAATGAAAAATCTAAGTGACCTCAGGAAGAAGCAAAGGAAAGTATGTTTGATGAGGAAAATCCAAGACGTAGTAAACGTCAAAGGATAGCTACTTCCTTTGGACCAGATTTTCTGGCATTCTTATTGGAATATGAGCCTCAAACGTTCAAAGAAGCAATATCTTCCTCGGAAGTACAATATTGGAAAGAGGCAGTCAATAGTGAGATAGAATCCATATTAAGTAATCATACATGGGAATTGGTTGATCTTACTCCGGGAGTTTAAACCTTTGGGTTCTAAATAGATTTTCAAAAGGAAAATGAAAGCTGATGGTACTATTGACAAATATAAGGCAAGACTAGTTGTTAAAGGGTTTAGACAACAAGAAGGTCTTGATTACTTTGACACATACTCGCCGGTGACAAGGATTACATCTATCCGGGTGTTAATAGCGTTAGCCGTCGTGTATGGCCTTTAAATCCATCAGATGGATGTAAAAAAAGCCTTCTTAAATGGAGATTTGGAGGAAGAAATCTATATGGAACAACCTGAAGGGTTTGTAGTTTTCGGAAAAGAAAAGAAGGTGTGTCGACTTGTTAAGTCACTTTACGGACTAAAACAAGCACCAAAACAATGGCATGCGAAATTTGACAAAACAATATTGTCAAATGGTTTCAAGATAAATGAGTGTGACAAATGTGTTTACATTAAGAATATTCCAAATCAAATAGTCATTGTTTGTTTATATGTGGATGATATGTTGATAATGAGTAACAGCATTGCTACATAAATGGTACTAAGCGCATGCGTACTAGTAAGTTTGATATGAAAGACTAAGGAGTTGCCGATTTAATTTTGGGAATTAAGATCCTTCAGACTCCTCAAGGTCTAGCTTTGTCTCAATCTCATTATATTAAAATGGTTCTTGAAAAGTTCAAATATTTGGACTTTAAAGAAGCAAAAACGCCAATTGATTTAAACTATACTCTTGTAAAGAACAAAGGTCAAAGCAAATCTCAATTGGAATATGCTCGAGTGTTGGGAAGTTTGATGTACATTATGAATTGTACACGACCTGATATAGCTTTTGCGATAAGTAAGCTTAGTCGATACACAAGTAATCCCAACCAAGCTCATTGGATAGCAATGAAACGAGTTTTGGGATATTTGAAATATACTCAAGACTATGCATTGCTTTACAATAATTATCCCGCAGTTGTTGAGGGATATAGTAATGCAAATTGGATCACCGGATCAACGAAATAAAAATCCACAAGTGGATATTTTTTACCATTGGTGGAGGAGCAGTGTCTTGGAAGTCGTCCAAACAGACATGCATCGCCCGCTCTACAATGGAGTCTGAATTTATAGCTTTAGATAAGGCCGGTGAAGAAGCTGAATGGCTCTTAATTTCTTAGAAGACATTCCATTTTGGCCCAAACCTATGGCACCTGTATGCATACATTGCGACAGTCAAGCAACAATAGGAAGGGCTGAGAGCGTTATGTATAACGGGAAATCTCGTCACATTCGACGAAGGCATAATACTGTTAGACAACTACTCTCTAGTGGAATTATCAAAATTGACTATGTAAAGTTAAAAGATAATGTATCGGATTCGCTTACAAAAGGCCAACCTAGAGAGGCGGTTGAGAAGTCATCAAAGGGAATAGGACTATGGCCGAGGACAAGTCACTATGGCGATAACTCTACCTAGAAGATTATAGATCCCAAGATCTAGGTTCAAGGAGATCAAACAAAGTCATTAGTGACGGTTCAACATTGTCAAATAATATTTTTGGTCCATTCTTATGATGAAGACAATGTTCTGTACCGAGGACAAAGCGTTGGGACTTTTTAATGATTTCTAAGTTTGATACGGGGTACATCAAATAGTGTATCTTCGGGATAACACGTTTAGGAATCACCTATATGAGTGTGAAGTGTAAGCCGCTTCAAGGAGAATGTTGCAAGGCCAGTTCTCTACGCACCTATGAAACCAGGCGGTGTTCATGGCTGAAACGAACACAACAATGAGAACTAAAGACGGTTAAGGGTTGATTGTGTGACATATGGCTGTGTAGGTATACACCAAAGTTTGACGGTTCAAAAATATCAAATCTACCGATTGATCGAGTATATCCTACATATGTTCACTACGGAAAGTTCAAAGGGAAACCTACTTATCCAGATGCGATTAATCCTTACTTGCGAATCACACACAGTTTTTCATGCATATTTGTTTAGGATAGCTATTCCCATTCATGTGGGGGATTATTGGGTTTTGTTATTAATAATAAAAGAGGTGTGAATGGAAAATGGTGGGAAAAAAATGGAGGAAAGTGAAATTTTGAATTAGTTCACTTTACTATTGCACTTTGTCCCTCATTGGAAGAAGGAAAGAAAATCTTTGTGCTTAGAGTTAAGAAGAAGTGGTGCCTCGCGCCGTCGTCGTCGTCGCTCTCTCGGCTTCGGCTTCGGCTTCGGATTCGGATTCAGATTTGGATTTGGTCAATTGATATGAATCGTCGCTCGCTCGGATCGGCTTTGGCTTTGGCCTCGGCTTCAGATTTGAATTCAGATTTGGATTTGGTCAATTGATATGATTGATTGATAATTTTTTGGACCAAATTTATTTTCCTTTTCCATCATTTAACATTTTCTTTTCTAAATATTTTTCGCGTTAGAAGATCGCGGATTCATTTTCGCGCGTTGGAAGATTGCGGAATCATTTTCGTGACCAACAACTGATTAGACACCAAAATGTTCCATTCAATAGCTGAATAGACACCTTATCAACGAACGGGCACCTTTGCACCTATTGGGACTCAACTTTGTTGGCTATAAATAGAGAGGCTTAGCCTCATTTTCCACCACCGAAAAAATCTGATATCTCTCCCCTCAATCTTCTGCATCCTGCATTTGTTTTCAAAAGCAAAACGTAATCATTTTTGTGTGATTTGCTCTGCCATTTGAGTTTGCTGAAATTCTGTGATTTGAAGTGCCGCTATCACAGAATAGTTATTTCGTTCTATCCTCAGAAGATTTAATCTGTAACCTTAGGCAACTGTGAGGGGATTAAATTCCTTAAGGACACACAAGGAAATTGTGGGCTCGGAATTTTTTTCTGTTTTGTTTTCTTAAACTAACGATTTTCTAGTTTTCTGGTTTTGAATACAGTGGAGTAACAAGTACATCAAACATTTAAATTCCGCTTAAAATAATACATAAATTCTTACATAAATTATACTTGCATTATTTGTGTGAATAAAGAAAACACATAAGAGCGGTGTATACTTGTTTTTTTTTTCTTTTTTCTTTTGTTGAAGTATTTTCCACAATCTGTAAAATATATACACGAATCGTTTCGGGATTATAACTAGAACCACCCCTTTTCTGGATCCACCTCACATCAATAACCCGACCCCTGCCACCTATAGGTAGTTTTAGACAAGTTTCTTTTGAAGTAGATACCTGAATACCAAGTATAGCTCGTAACAATCTATCTTCCGGGGCATACGACGATTCTTTCACGACCTGGGGTGTTAATTTACCTACTAAAATATCACCCGTCTCTACCCAAGATCCCAGCATCACAATTCCATTTTTATCTAAATTGCGGAGTAAATGGGCTTCTAAATACGGTATTTCATTAGTTACTTTTTCAGGGCCTTGGCTTGTCGTTTTGATAATAAACACTTCTTAAAATAAGCTTTTAACACATTCCCTAATGCTATTAAATCTGTTGTCATACTCTTATATTCTAGTCTATATAGTAAAAAAGATGGTTTTCTAGTTGCATATACATGCTAGTTTTGGTGATTCTTCTTATCCCATTTAACTGCTAATAAGCAAAAAAATAATAGTACAAGATTACCAATGGCCATCTAGTCTAATCCAGTCATAATAAATAATTGGACTATGAACACACTAGGCAACAATCTTGATTTGATATCATTACCAGAAATTGACAAAACTAAAGATTATCGTCCTAGCTAGATTTGTTTGTTTGTATAAATGTC